AGCATCTATATTACCTTTGTGTGAACTGCCGTTTTGATAGGGAGACTTTATTTGGATCTTTGTTTGAAGACCTGATTAAGTAAATGTCCAAAAAAGAGTTGCCACTGTACAAAGATTCAAGATGGAAAAAGTGCTTCTTTTCATGTTTCCAGATAAACTATCATTACAAGGAGGATGGAACACGGTCCTTTCAGAATCCTCAAGAATAAAGGTCTAAAAACAAGAGCGTCTAATAGACCGTTCCAACACCAACTCAATACTGGAAGGAAGATTGCAAAAGTTTGAAGATTGCTAGACCCTTACCACTCAGAATCTGTGGACTCTGGATACAGTTAATTACCGTTACAAAATAAGATTTGTAATGGTCGGATCCACAATCGAACACGTAGAGCTGGGGTTTCACACATTATAATAGCGGGCTTCATTGTATCTTCATTGTATCTACAGCTTAGCAGGAAGGTAGGTCACGTTTGAGAGAACAACTGTTTTCTTTCGGCAGGCTATGGATACATGAAACTGCTCAGGGATGAAACTCCTCACTGATTTTAGTGCAGAGAACAGCCCTCACTAAACTATAAGGCTTATGCACAGTGGCACAGATGTATGCAGACATTGGAGATACTTCATGAGTTTAAGTGCAGAATGAAACTTTCTAAGAACTATTTCTTATGTGCTATTTGCCAAAACTCTGAAACTCCTAAAAAAAGATTAATAGTAAAGGTTCCAAACCCTGAAAGATTTCAAAGAGTATACTCCATACTGTTTCTAGTGAAAAAAAGTAGAATATCAAAAATTCAGAATGGAGATGATCTACAGTTTTCTATCAGCACAAAGTTGTTTTGTTTCTCAGACCATCCTTTCATCCTAATGTTTTGTCTAAATATAACATCAACTAAACTCTCATTCTTCTTTCCAACTTGTGTAAGAACCCTTCTTCACTCAAACACGAACGTCTTCAATTTATGGATGTTAAAAGAGCCGTATCTATTTACCTCAACAGAACTAAAGAATGGTGTAGGTCTGATAATCTTCTTATCAATGTTCAAGAAAATTCTAGAGATCAACAGTCTTCCAAAGCCTAAATTGCACAGTGAGTTACAGAAGCTATTCAGCTTGTGTACAGATTTCAGCGTAAATCCATTTCAGAGAAGGCTAAAGCGCATTCCATATAAACTAGGTATTAAAGTGCGCTGTATCTTTAAAAAGCTAATTCCACTAGAACAAAGGCTACGTTGGCAGACAAGGTTAAAGCCACACCAGAAGACATCTGTAGTGCATCTACCTGATGTTCGCTTAGCATGTTTATTCAACACTATAGGCTAGACGTCTTGGTTTCATCTAAAGCATCATTTGCGCGCAAGGTGTTGCATGCGGCTGTAATCTGAATCTATTTACCTATATACCTGTCCATCACTATAATGAACATTCTGTACTGCAGCTGATTCAAGGAAAAAAAATATTTATGGTGAGTAAAAATGTATTTCTTTTTTATTCACACAGTAATAATTTTGAAAAAATATATAAATTGTTGCACTTTATTTTACTTGATACTTATAACTTTTTTTTATTGGAAATCTTCATAAAAAATTGACATTAAAATAAAAAACATTATAAATGTTACTGCCCCTGGCTGGACAGAAGAACGTGATGTAAAGAGGCTGTTCCCCTTAATACAGCGTGCGCTAGTCTTTGTTATTTCTGGAAAATAAGACTTCAAAATAACAAACAATTGCAAGTATTGAGTAGCAAAATTTAAATTAGAAAAATATGTCATGTCACAGCAGTTCTTCTTCAACAAGTTTCTCCAAGTCACCTATGCCTTTACTTCAGGTACTTTGGCTTTAATGTTGAAATTCAATTAGAATTCCTGACGATTCTCACTTTAATGATGAACCTGGTTAGGTAAGTGGGGCAAGATGAGCATTAAAACAACTTGAGATTTTGGGGGCGTGGCCAACGGAGCAACAGGCAAGACGCGCTTGTGAGGAGCTCCGGCACAGAGACTCATAAAACGGATGATTAACTCACCCTAAAGACTCCCACAGACGCAGAGACATCCACCCCTTAAAAGCCAACCAAATGGGGCGAAAAAATCACGCGCCGGAGACCCGCAAACTGCCTGATATCAGGCTTTCATTTGACAGGCCGGCCCGGCGGGAGGCACCCAAGATGGCGCCGGAGTCACAGAGTAAGGATGAAGCCTCAGAGGCATCACAGGATGTGGAGCTGCCCAAAGATAATACCCCAGCAAGCTGCTCTGAAAGTGAGTCTGACCCAGATGCAGATTCAGCGCCGGCAACAAAAAGAGATATAAAATGCCTTCTAAACGAGATGAGGCAAATATGCAAGTCAGACCTGCGGGCGACACAAGCGGAAATAGGCACCCTGGGGAAAAAACTTACAGCATTTGAATCCAAAGACAGAGAGAGGGAGACACAGTTGCAGAATGCCCAACAGGAGATTCAAAGTCTGGCAAAACAGGTCCAAAACCTGTCCAAGAATGTGACAGTGCTGGAATCGCGGCACAGAAGGAAAACGTCCGCATCAGAGGAGTGCCCTTCCTGCACCGTATGCTGACCCACATGGGAGCCAAAAGTGGAGTAGCTTAGGAGATGGTAACGACCGCATTCCGTATACGGAAAGCCGCCTCAGCCCCGGCAGAGGCTCCCAGAGACATTATTGCAGTAACCAAGCACACTGCAGCCAGAACCGCCATCATGTCTCGCTCGAGAGAACTAAAAAATGTGAACTTTGAGGGCTACACAATAGCTATATATGGAGACCTCCCGTTCGCTGGACTAGCGGCGAAAAGGCAGCTAGGCCCAGTGGCCAGCAAACTGAGGGAATTAGGTGAACGATATAGGCGGGGAGTAGACGGAACACTGATTACACAGAGAGGAGAGGAAACACTAACCCTGCCCCCTGACGGTGATCAGGAGAAATTCCTCAGACGCCTAAGAGAGACAGACATAACCCAAGCAAAGACCCCTAAGACCAAGACGATTGCTCAACGGGGACCCATAGGCCCACCGCACGCATAGACAGGTCATGGATCACCAGGCCAACATATAGCTGACAGACGTAAGACCCACTAACAAACAAACACAAAAAAGCCCACACTACAATTGAGAACCACAAACAGACTAAATATAGAGGGATAATGCCCCGACATAGCCCACACATATAGACAGACCAACATAACAGAGGTCACTAAGCAGCACTTATTCCTAACCTATATAATGTACAAAACGCGTCAAATCCTAATGTATGCAGTTAATGTTAAGAATCCAGCTGGACCACTGTTGATACCTCATATCATATCATATACCGCAATATGATAAAGATGTATGTTTCTATGCATGAAAATCAATAAAATACAAATTATAAAAAAAAAAACAACTTGAGATTTTAATGAAATGATTGTGATATAAAGATAACACCTCTGCGGTCTCTCAATTGTCACCTATTTAGAAGTTAAATAACTTTGTTTATACAGCCCTAGCCAGACCTCCATAAACACTTCCTTATCTAGTTTTTGACCTTTCTTTATTCTATATTTAAGTCATTTTTATTTATTTCTGTCATTTGCCTGCTAGAGCATGCAGCAGACTATTGTATTTGATTAAAGTTCATCTAAGAGAACTAGAGGTAAGAATTACTAAAAACACACTGTACTGTAAGAATTATTATTTTTAATGGAGACTGTGTGAGTGACAGCCAGTGATGGTGTGGCTATGGCTATCTAAACAAAGTGATATAACTCCTAAATTGCAGAGACTTGAGCAGTGAGACTGCAAGGGTGTGATATATACACTGAAATTACTACAGCTCACTGCAGTGGTTGTGGTGTCATGTGTGCCCTGAACCCCCTCTCCACCACCCATTGTAAGATCCCCAACCGTTTTTCAATCATTTGACTTCTTACTTGCAGTTGCCACCACCACTCATTACCTCTGCTGCCCAATAAACATAAAATACTAAGGGACTTCCAGCAGCACTCCTTTTGTTGATAGCCCTTTTATGGGAAATAGACCTGGACTATATTACAAAGTTTATTAGTCGGTTAATTGGTAATGTAGGTAGAGATTTGTCTCATTAAAATTGCTATACTGTCTGGGGTCCCCTGGCACCATTCTTCCATTTGGTGTTAAACCATTTCAAATGTTTAAATGTAAAAAAAGAGCCCCCAGCAGCCTATCCCATCTGTGCTGCTTGGGCCAATAAGGAAGCATTAGCCTGGTGAGCAATAAGAAGCTTATTGATTGGCTGAAACTGTCAGCTGACTGCTTCTGTTCTATCACAGTGCTCAAATGCTGGTATGAATTGGTATGGCTAAAAAGTACTGGTTAATTTCTACCTTGGCTATACCTGCAGTGTAGGTCAGATTGTGATCAGCAAGGGGCCCTTAATCAGAGTTAAACTGCTCGAAAATGGTTTACCACTGTAATGGATCACCTGGCACCCCTACTGGGTACCTCCGTTGAAGGATGCTCCTAGCGCTTCCTGGGGGCTCCAAGCACTCCAGCCGACACCATAACCACTGTAGACTCCTTCAGAGAGCAAGACAGGAGCAAGCCCTTACAAGAGCTTAGTAGTGATATAGCAAGAGAGTATGACTAGCATCAGGGGCGGACTAAGAGCCTTTGGGGCCCCCGGGCAAAATTAGATCCCAGGCCCTTTGAAGGCCAAATATATGTGTATTAAATAAATGTTAAATATAACTCATAATACGGCATTCCTTTGGATGTGTATATTGTGAAGACCTGTGTATCAATGCATGTTTGTATTTGAGTCTGTGTGAATGCACTTGTGCATGTCTGGATGACTACATGTGCTTTTTTGTATATAGTGTCTGTGTGAATGCATATGTGACAGGTGACAGGTGGAAGAGTGTGGGAGGTTGTGACAGGTGGCAGAGTGAGGGGGTACCTGGTGGCAGAGTGAGGGAGTAGTGGCAGAGTGACGAGGAGACACAGTGAGTGGGGGTGACTGGTGACAGAGTGAGGGAGTGGGTGACTAGTGACAGAGGGAGGGAGAGGGGTGACTAGTGACAGTTAGGGAATGGGTGACTAGTGGCAGAGTGAGGGAGGGAAGAGATGACTAGTGGCAAAGTGAGGGAGGGAAGAGGTGACTAGTGACAGAGTGAGGGGATGACTGGTGACAGAGGGAGGGAGGGGGTGCCTGTCATTAGTCACCCCATCCCTCTCTCTGTCACTCCCTCTATCTCTCTGTCACCCCCTCCCTCCCTCTGTCACTAGTCACCCCCTCCCTCACTCTGTCACTAGAGTGAGGGGGTGACTAGTGGCAGAGTGAGGGAGGTGGTGACTGTCACTAACAGTCACCACCTCCCTCATTCTGTCACTAGTCACCACCTCCCTCACTCTGTCACTGGCCACCCACTCCCTCCCTCACTCTGTCACCAGTCATCCCCTCACTCTGTCACTAGTAACCCCTTCCTTCCCTCACTCTGCCACTAGTCACCCCTTCCCTCACTCTGTCACCCCATCACTCTAGTGACAGAGAGAGGGAGGGGGTGACTAGTGACAGTAAGGAAGGGGATGACTAGTGACAGAGTGAGAGAGGGGGTGACTAGTGACAGAGTGAGGGAGGGAGTGGGTGACTAGTGACAGAGTGAGGAAGGGGGTGACACAATGACAGAGTGAGGGTAGGGGGTGACTAGTGACCGAGTGAAGGAGGTGGTGACTGTCACTAGTCACCCCATCCCTCCCTCTGTCACTAATCACAACCTCCCTCACTCTGTCACTAGTCGCCCCCTCCCTCTCTCTGTCACTAGTCACCCCCTCCTTCTCTCTGTCTCTAGTCACACCCTCCCTCACTCTGTCACTAAAGTGAGGGGGTGAAGGGTGACAGAGTGAGGGAAGGGGTGACTAGTGGCAGAGTGAGGGAAGGGAGGGGTGACTAGTGGCAGAGTGAGGGAAGGAAGGGGTGACTAGTGACAGAGTGAGGGAGGGGGTGACTAGTGACAGAGTGAAGGAGGTGGTGACTGTCACTAGTCACCACCTCCCTCACTCTGTCCCTAGTCACCCCTCACTCTGTCACTAGTCACCCCTTCCCTCCCTAACTCTGTCACTGTGTCATCCCATCCCTCACTCTGTCACCAGTCACCCCCTCCCTCTGTCACCAGTCACCCTCTCCCTCACTCTGTCACTAGAGTGAGTGCGTAACTAGTGACAGAGTGAAGGAGGGGGTTACTAGTGACAGTGAGGAGTGGGGTTACTAGTGACAGTGAGGAGTGGGGTGACTAGTGACACAGTGAGGGGGTGACTAGTGACAGTGGGGTGACAGGGGGGGTGACTAGTGTCAGAGGGCAGGGGGTGACTAGTGACAGTGAGGGGGGGTGATTAGTGACAGTGAGGGGGTGACTAGTGACAGGGGGGATGAATAGTGACAGTGAGGGGTGACTATTGACAGTGGGGATTAGTACCTACCTTTCTCTCTGCTTCCTCTTCTCTCCCTGGCTGCTGCTCCTTCCCCTGCTGGCTGATCGGCTCTGGGTGAGGGAGGAGTAAACAGGAAGTGAGGTCACTTCCTAGCCCCGCCGCTCCCCATCACACAGAGCCGCATGGGACAGGGAGAAGGAGACTTGGCAGAGAGGCGGTGAAGCTGCCAGGTCTCATTGGGGGGGGGGTGATTTACAGAGCGGTAGGTTGTGGGGCCCCGCGCTGCATCAGGGGCCCCACAACCTATCAATTAAATAGTTTTATTTTATTATTTTTTGCCGTTCCAGTTGGAGAGATCTCTGATCTCTCCAGCTGGAGCATGGCTGTGCGGCCGGGCCCCTGACTGTCTCGGGCCCTCAGTCCATGACCGAAGTGCCAGAGTGGTCAGTCCGCCCCTGACTAGCATAGCAGTCCCTTGTAGAGGATTCCCCCAATAACAGACGGCACTCCAAATTGAGGGTGAAGTAGAACTGAAGCTTTTAATCAAACACTCTGCTTTTATGCCCATTTTACAAACATAGTACCGCCCACAGGGTTTTGCAAAACAACTAATCAATACGTACAATACATTCAGACACTCCCAGCAATTACACACAAAATCCTCCCCTCTGCCTGTGATACAATTATCGCAACACAATAGACTAACTTAATTATCACAGGCAGAAAATATACAGTTTTTACAAAATATTAATAACTTCCAAAATATACATGCCATTCACATAAAACATACATTTTCAGAATCAGCATACTCCATATACAAACATACTCAAAAATCATACAATTCCCTCCAGTGGTTTAAAAGTTAGGTGTGGTAACATACTTCTCTCCAGTACAGGGCATATCTCCATTTACAACAACAGTAAAATACCTAAAAATACATAATTCCTATCATACTGAACAGAACCCCCACTATATCCGAACAGCGCTCAGATCCCACGAACACATTCAAATTGCTATGGGGTTTAAAGTTTAGCAACAAGTTCCAACTGGTCTGGCAGTGTCCCTGGGGCACACCTTCTCATGTATTCAAAGGGGCAGAAAATGTTTCAAAATCCATTATGCTCTAATCAGTTCCTTAAACGGCAATACATCCCAGGGGCCATAGTCATATGGCAGGAGGCAGGCAATCAGTCTTCTCCAATGCCCAGTGGCGAGGCTGGTTCCGCCACAACCACTAAATAGAAAGATAGTGCCAGATGATTCCGTCAATTCTGTGAGATGAAATGGTTTCGTGCCTACAGTGTCCCTTTTAGGCTAAAGTTGTTTTAACTACATTGTATCTCTACCACATTGTATCTCTTCATGCATTTCACTGTATTTGCTTGGGATATAGTACTTTGTTTAGAAGCTGTTTGGAACATTATCATGCCCATGGCACACCCTCAAATTTATTTTAAATGCATCATATGTAAATAATAATTTGTCTAAAATAAATGCCTTCTAACTTTTTTTTCCCCTTTTCTTCAGAGTCTGTTCCATTTGAGCAGACTTTGGGGTTTTTTTTTGTCTGTTCGGGTGTCACTGATTTGTGCTGGGCTTATACTTTTGATGATTTTCTATATGACCTATGAGAATAATTGGCATGCATATATACATTTGCAGATGTTGTAAAGGGAGCCAACTGTCCCTCAGCATCTGTCTTCGAGTTTAATTGTTATTGTGGAGTGATATAAAAATAAATTCTATATAAATAATGGACTTCTACCACCGATTTGAATAAAAAACAAACAAACAGCTGGCTATAATCTCATGTGTAATGATTAAACTATATATTCCATATTTCCACCATACTGTTATTGTATTCTTTATGAATAAAACATAACATATGAGGTTTAAAGGTATAAGGCAGAAAAAAATGTTTATTCTAAATCTCAATATAATTGGTTCATTTTATTGGACAGATAGTGATAACACTGAATCGGTTATTGTACAATTGGCCAAGTTTGCTTTCAAACCCCCTCTTATTAAACCCCTTAATAATCCACTAGGATACCAGAAATGAATGAGATGCCTCCTTGAATAGAGTGTGAAGCATACCCTCCAGGTCTTCAAGTGCTCTTTGTTTGTATACAGAGGCCAGTACTGTGTTCAAGGTCAGTGATCACATTCCTCTATGCAACAAACCAACAGGACCAGCCTGTTAATATCTTTGGGAAATTCGACAAACAGGAGGGGGTACTCTGTTAACACTGTGAGCAAAGCCACGGAAATTGGTTTTACTATTTATTGTACACTATAATTTTATATTGAATCCTTCATTCTATTATTTTCATCACACGTAACTGTTCAGCTTCTATTTTAAGACAATTTAAAACCTACTGAAAGGTACTTTTTCATTTTCTTTACGTCAATGATATAATGCAATGGGTGCCTCAACACAAAGTAATGAAAAACAATGGAGCACATGAACTAAACCACTGGGGCATATGATTTAAACTGCAACAGAAAAGGGGGTAACACATACTTAAAAGGACAGAGGCAATTGTACAAGTTCTGATCAAAATAAAGCCTAGAATTTTAGCTATATGTTGTTTAACCATAGTTTACTTCTTTCATATTAGGTGCATCCACACTTATTATAAGTAATTTTGCTCAGGAGAAACAGGGTTTTCATTTCACATCAAATATTTATATATAAAGCTAAATTTAATATAAGTAAGATGTAAAAAAGTTTAAGAAATCAATACATTTTGTCATTTTCTGCATGGCATTTTAATTGTAATGGCATAAAGCTGTTAGATTTTACTGCTTTAAAATACATATATTTATGTTTAGCAATATCTCACGATGGGGTATCTTCATTCTTTTTTTAGTAACCACTTACTATATATTCATTTTTCTTTATATTTATAATCTGAGGACCTTAATAACCTTGTCATAAAAGGAAAATAAAAACAAAATTTGAAAACGCACTCTTTACTGAAATCATAAACAAAATGTGAAGCGATGTGGCAGATTACATCAAAACACACTCCGTGGAAATTTCGATTGCAGCGACTCATCCTTCATCCAAATTTCAAAATATTCCAATGGCAGAAAATAGATATCTAAATTTGTCAATCTTCTCCTCTAAGTTGTCTTTGAGGTCCCTCCAGTACTTTGTGAGGATAAGTGTATGTTCTTCTGCAGCAAGGGGGCCCCCAGCTGCTGATAATGAATGCTGCCATGTGGCTGAGTGACTCGTCCAAGGACCCCGACATCTCTCTTTTTATTTTTTATTATTTTTTATTTATATTTATAAGTTCAGTTTTCCATAATAAATAAGACAGTAATATAGAAGACAATGACTCAAAACAGAAAGATCCACATTTTAATATAATCCTTAATAATTAACCTTAAAGGAACCCTATAAAGTCAGCAACACAAACATGTAATCCAGACACTATATTGTTAAAAATGCTATGTAGCCCCCCTTGTTTCCCTAAATGTAGGAACATCTTACCTTCATTCCAGTCTGCTGGTGCTGGCTCCGCCCCTGATCTGCCTCCTTGGCTGACATCATCAGAAGTGATGATCTCAGTAAATTACAATGTTTTTGCGGGGCAGAGTGGAAGAGCTAAACACCGCCCTGACCAATCAGACCTCATCATATAGATGCATTGAATCAATGCATCTCTATGAGGAAAGTTCAGTATCTCCATGCAGAGGGTGAAGACACTGAATGCTGCCCCAGGAAGCACTTCTACTAGCCATCTCAGGAATGACCTCTGGAGGTTTCCCTAGGCTGTAATGTAAACACTGCCTTTTCTTTGAAATATATACAAATCTTTTCCATTACATTATCAGAAATGTGCTATTACATAAGGTCTATTCCTACAGATGTTATATTCAATTTTACATTGCTAAATAAACTAAGCTTCTATTTCATTCCATTCTGGTATGGAATGTTTTCCCCAGTATCTTGCTGAACTGAATTTAGAGGCAGTTAGTATGTGAGTGGTTAAAATGTTACCTGCTTTAGGTATGTGAGGCAGTTAATATGTAATAAGAATATTTCTGGGGACAAAGGTAAAAATATCTGTAGATAACTATAAAGCTGTCTATTTACATTTCTCCAAAATTCCTGTATTGTTATACAGCTCCACCAAATATGACAATAGCTGGCCTTAGGATATCCACATCTCCAACAGGAAGGATCCTGTAGTGAGACGAATTCTGCTAGCCTGCTTGGTGTTAAATCTATTGATTACTTTAGAGTGCCTCACTATTACATATGAGCAATGTATAAAAGATTTACATATAACTTTACGTGTATTCTTATAATTTTTTTAAAACATTTGAATTGTCTGGCTTTTGATATAAATCCTCTATCTTGAGCTTGTATTAAAAGTTTTATTAGAAGGTTTATTGAACCTGTATTTTCCCTCTGTAGATGATTTTTCTAAGAAGTGATTTACTCTAAGATAGCGTAAAATATCTTTCTTAGATAAATTAAAATCAGATTGTGATGTGATTATTTAAACATAAATCTCAGTATGCATACATCTTTTTAAACCCAATGTTTAATATTTAAATCTTGCACTTTGTCATTAGAATTTTCAAGAGTAGGCAATTTAAGATCCTATTTTGTATTTTAAGTTTATATGTTGTTCCAGAATTGCCAAACATGCTGAGTGGTAGTTAGTTTAGAGTTCTCCTTACCTTCATTCTTATTTACTTGGTTGTCCAAAAGAGAGGCAAAAGTTATAACCATTTC